TATATCATGCTTAATTAAACTGTTTCTTGTGTTGTTTGTAGATTGAAGCAATATTGGGCACATGGCCCAAAGGCACAGAGCTGTGGACAAATACGGAATCACTCCCATCGCGCTGCTACAAAATCTGCGAAAGCTATCCTTCTGAATTTGGTGCGACAATATTTGTTCATTGAACTTCTACCTTCTTGGACTCTACAGTCGTGAAAGTACAGTGACATTACATGAACATGCGGTGAACTGCGCATGACACACTGTTTCAAGCCACTAGAAGACGAAGACCGGGGTTTGCCATGAAAAACCGTTTGTGATGTGTGCCGCGCAAAGCACACCGCACACACTAGAAGAAACAACTCGAATTGTCTAACTCCTGTTTAAGTGATGTTGGTTCTTTGCATTGTCGCAGCGCCCTCCTAAACATCAGTTTGAGTTGTGGTGCACCAAGCCACCTGCTCGCTTCCAAAGGAAACACCTGACTTGGATGCTTTGCGGCTCAGTGATCGGCTCCAATGCTAAGCAACACGCAACGGGGCAGCCTTCTCAACTTGTGCAACTCCCAAATGTTTGTCTCACACATACATGCAAGGCTAATAACGCGGCTTTTGTTTTCCCTTGTGTTGCGTTGGCATTCAAGCCGTTTGGGCCAAGGTCAAATTATGTTTGATGATTTTATTTCATTCCAACATCAAAGGCATTGAGCAGCTGAGCTGAACCAGGAGGTTTTACATTGGGTGATAGCAAGGTCCGCGCCGCTGCTTGACTTGGCACTTGTATCTTTCAAGCAAGCCCTGCACAGTGAACAGCAACGCCCCAAAGAACACCGCTTATCGTGACAACACCGTTAAACAAATCCGCTGATGGACTTTCAGGGCTTTACTTGGCACAGAACCAAAAAAAGGTGTTTTGTTCAAGAAAAGGTGTTTCGACAAAGAATGCCATTCTGTACATTTTGCCCCAAAAATTTGGGGTGGTTTGAGACTCCAGGTAGATGGCAAGTTGGGTGGGAGGGGGCCGGCGCTGTGCTTTTGCGGGGGGCTCGGCGTAGACAAGCCTCGGTCACTTGGTGGTCTGACGCCTGTCCGAAACAAGTCTGAGACACAGTGTTACCACGATCCGCGTAGACCGGGGTTAGCTGTTCGGATGTTCGTGCGCCCTTTTGTCTGGGCCGCGTGTGCTCAGCATATTCATGTCAACCTGCGTCCAGGCTGCTTCCAAATAAGTAGGGCGAACCCCAAGAGGCCACAGCTTCTCAAGAGAGTCCTAGAAACACATTGGCGTTTGTTCGGGTCCTGTGTGCGGCAAAAAGTGCGGGGGCTCGGTGTGGACAAGCCTCGGTCACTTGGTGGGTCTGACGCCTGTCTGAAACAAGTCTGAGACACAATCTGCGTAGACCGGGGTCAGCCGTTCGGATGTTCGTACGCCCTTTTGTTTGGCCGAGTGTGCTCAGCATAAACATTTTCAACGTGCTTCCAGGCTGCTTCCAAATAAGTAGGGCGAACCCCAAGAGGCCAGAGCTTCTCAAGAGAGGGTTCGTCCTAGAAACACATCGGCGCCAGCCGTTCGGATGTTCGTACGCCCTTTTGTTTGGCCGAGTGTGCTCAGCATAAACATTTTCAACGTGCTTCCAGGCTGCTTCCAAATAAGTAGAGCGAACCCCAAGAGGCCACAGCTTCTCAAGAGAGGGTTCGTCCTAGAAACACATCGGCGCCATTTGTCTCGCTCGAGGGCGGTTTCCGCCTGTCACGAGCGTCCCCCGCGCCCGTCTCGCTCGGGGGCGGTTTCCGCGCCCGTCTCGCTCGGGGGCGGTTTCGGCCTGTCACGAGCGTCCCCCGCACCCGTCTCGCTCGGGGGCGGTTTCCGCTTGTCACAAGCGTCCACCGCGCCAGACAGGCCGAAACTGCCCCCGAGCGAGACTGGCGCGGTGGACGCTCGTGACAAGCGGAAACCGCCCGCGAGCGAGACTGGCGCGGGGGACGCTCGTGAGAGGCCGAAACCGCCCCCGAGCGACACGGGCGCGGGGGACGCTCGTGACAGGCCGAAACCGCCCCCGGGAAACTGCCCCCGAGCGAGACTGGAGCGAGACTGGCGCGGTGGCCGCTCGTGACGTGCGGAAACCGCCCGCGAGCGAGAGCCGAAAAAGGGATTTCCTGAACTCCTGAAGACCTGGTTCTTTTTCGCTCAGAGAACGGTTCTGGAGGCTTCCAGGGCTCAAAATCACGGCAATATTGAGTCAATCTTGATTCATGAATGGGTTCATTTTTGGGCAAAGACACGACAGCCTGCTTGTCATTCCTTGTCACCGTCTGTCACTGCCTGTCACGAGCGTCCCCCGCGCCCGTCTCGCTCGGGGGCGGTTTCGGCCTCTCACGAGCGTCCCCCGCGCCCCGTCTCGCTCGGGGGCGGTTTCGGCCTGTCACGAGCGTCCCCCGCGCCCGTCTCGCTCGGCGGCGGTTTCGGCCTCTCACGAGCGTCCCCCGCGCCAGTCTCGCTCGCGGGCGGTTTCCGCTTGTCACGAGCGTCCACCGCGCCAGTCTCGCTCGGGGGCGGCTTCGGCCTGTCACGAGCGTCCCCCGCGCCCGTCTCGCTTGGGGGCGGTTTCCGCTTGTCACGAGCGTTCACCGCGCCAGTCTCGCGGTTTCCGATTGTCACGAGCCGTTTCAACAGCGCCATCTCGCTCGCGGGTCGGTTTCCGCAAGTCACAGAGCGTCCCCCGCGCCCGTCTCGCTTGGGGCGGTTTTCGGGCCTGTCTCCACGGAGCGTCCCCCCCCGCGTGTGGGGCCAGTCTCGCTCGCGGGCGGTTTCCGCATGTCACGAGCGTCCACCGCGCCAGTCTCGCTCGGGGGCGGTTCGGCCTGTCACGAGCGTCCTCCGCGCCAGTCTCGCCCGCGCCCGTCTCGTTTCCGCTTGTCACGAGCGTCCACCGCGCCAGTCTCGCTCGCGGGCGGTTTCGGCCTGTCACGAGCGTCCCCCCGCGCCCGTCTCGCTCGGGGGCGGTTCGGCCTGTCACGAGCGTCCCCCCGACCCGTCTCGCTCGGGGGCGGTTTCGCCGCCGCGCCCGTCTCGCTCGGGGCGGTTTCGGCCTGTCACTAGCGTCCCCCCCGCCGCCCGTCTCGCTCGGGGGCGGTTTCGGCCTGTCACGAGCGTCCCCCCCGCGCGTCGTCTCGCTCAGGGGGCTGTTTTCCGCTGTCACGAGCGACCACCGCGCCAGTCCCACGCTCTGGCGCGGTTTCGGCCTGTCACGAAGCGTCCCCCGCGCCCGGTCTCGCTCGGGCGGTTTCGGCTGTCACAAGCTCCAACCGCGCATCTCGCTCGAGGCGGTTTCCGCCTGTCGGCCTGTCACGAAGCCGTCCCCCGCGCCCGTCTCGCCTCGGGGCGGTTTCGGGCCTTTACGAGTGGCCCCCCCGCGCAACCGCCGCTCGGGGGCGGTTTCGCTCGGGGGCGGTTTCGGCCTGTCACGAGCGTCCCCCGCGCCCGTCTCGCTCGGGGGCGGTTTCGGCCTGTCACGAGCGTCCCCCGCGCCCGTCTCGCTCGGGGGCGGTTTCGGCCTGTCACGAGCGCGCCCGTCTCGCTCGGGGGCGGTGTCGGCCTCTCACGAGCGTCCCCCGCGCCCCGTCTCGCTTGGGGGCGGTTTCGGCCTGTCACGAGCGTTTCTGCATGTCACAAGCGTCCCCCGCGCCAGTCTCGCTGGGGGGCGGTTTCGGCCTGTCACGAGCGTCCCCCGCGCCCGTCTCGCTCGGGGGCGGTTTCGGCCTGTCACGAGTGTCCCCGCGCCCGTCTCGCTCGGGGGCGGTTTTGGCCTGTCACGAGCGTCCCCCGCGCCCGTCTCGCTCGGGGGCGGTTTCGGCCTGTCACGAGCGTCCCCCGCGCCCGTCTCGCTTTCGGCCTGTCACGAGCGTCCCCCGCGCCCGTCTCGCTCGGGGGCGGTTTCCGCTTGTCACGAGCGTCCACCGCGCCAGTCTCGCTCGCGGGCGGTTTCCGCATGTCCCGAGCGTCCACCGCGCCAGTGTCGCTCGGGGGCGGCTTCCGCCTGTCACGAGCGTGCCCCGCGCCCGTCTCGCTCGGGGACGGTTTCCGCTTGTCACGAGCGTCCAGCGCGCCAGTCTCGCGCACCCAGCCAGCACCACACCGCCGTCCCCCCAGCCAGCCTCGTACGCCCGGTCTGCACCCCCAGCCGGCATCGCACGCCCGGTCTGCAGCACAACGAAATGGAAATCCCTTCTTATCTCCGACGTCACAGCTTGTATCGCTCCCAGGCACCTTAAGAGAAAACCTAAAGCAGAACCCAAGCATCAGAGATGCTTTTGGGAAAAACACCGTCTCATTTGGGCTCCGAGAGGGCATCCGCATACGCGCGGTGACTTCCGTGTCTTTTCCTAGAGGATCGTTCTTTGCACGGTGCCAAGCTGAGAAGACACAATACGACCCAACGGAACAGGAGGCGCAAGGTCAGCTCCAAGGGATCAGTTTGTTTAAGGCTCCAAAATGTTCCAGTTTCCTCACAGAGTTGCCCCCTTGGAAATAGTTTGTGTGTTTTGATTGGTACTACTGCGGTTTTCTATAAAAACGGGCTCCCTGCAATTCATCACGCTAGTGTCTTCTTGGCCATGAGGTTCAACAAAAGCCGACTCGAGGTTTACGGCCAAACAACTCAGCGTGACATCTTCTATTTGACCCTAGTTCCAGGCCGAATCTCCCCATGTCAGCTGATCAGAGATGGTATTGCCAAATACCAATACACAAGTTCCAACGGCTGCGACTTAGCCTCCCCTACTGTTCGGACTTGAGATGCGCACTATTTCCGTGCTTTCTGAGTCAATCTGTTCAGCTACAAGAGGGACCACCAAAGGGGCGTCGAACTTAAGGAATCCTCTTTTGCAGACGTTTTCATGGCCCACCCACAATGGTTGTTGGCTGAATAGTGATGAACATTGGCTTAGATTGGAGAATATGTCTCTCAGACCACGACCTTTTCACTGAGTGGCTTCTCTGATGGGCTGCCTCAGGTAAAGAGCGCGGCCGACCTCCAAACGGCGAAGGCTGGGGGCGTTGCTTCAAGTGCGAGGCCCTGTTGTAAGCCACAATTGAGACTATTTTGAGGGGCTATGCTACAAGGTGAATGCCACTCCATGTTCCACAGCATCCTTACTATCCATGGGAGAGACCAGGCAAAGTTGCACCTAGAGCAGATATCTCTACGGGTAGCTCGGAGTCTGGCTCGAAGGAGCTGCTGCCTGGAGCCATCTTGGTGGCCTTCGTGGTCTTCCTCTCCTCCTTCGCCGGGGCCAAGAAGTTCGCCATGAAGGACACTGGGTTCCATCGTGGCGCCTCGGCGCGTCGGGTGCCAGGGAGCTCGGGAGCTCGGGAGCTCGGGAGTCAAGTGAAATCCGGATCACAAAGTGGGACCATACCTTTGGCCTTGGTCGAACGAGGTACCAACTCCCTCCAAAGGCGACTTGAGCAGCCATCTTTGCAGTACTGGGCCAGGCTTTTTGCAACATGCCTGTGCCACAGGTTACATGTTTTTCCACTGATTCTATCATGACTGCGTGGCCAATGATGCCTTTTTTGTTTGCGATATTGTCCACAAAAACATGGCGGTGGCCACATGACGGGCATCTTTCGAGCTTGAGCCCACGCTGCCACGAGCTGCATTTCGTTCAACCCACTGGTGTGTGCCATGACACCATCGTTTGCTGGGCCAACATCCAGGCAAGTGTTTGACTGCATGTCAGCATATTTCGACAGCAAATGCTATCTTTGCCGCTTTTCTTTCGAAGTTGGCTTCCACCTTCAACATCACACCACCCAAAAAGAAACTTGGCGCCCTCTTTGTCCCCCCTTTTGGTGCACCGGAAAGCTTCCCCATTCCCCCAAAAAACACACAAACACAACAAACACATGGGCGCCAGTTTGGCTCAAAGTGGGCACTTGGGCCGTAGGACGGCTATCAGATCCGTGCCTTCAACGAGCTCATGGCCCTGGGCTTCGCCAACATGCTGGGGGCGCTCACGGGCTCGGTGCCTACGCAGATCGGCCTCTCCCGCGCCTTGGATCGGAGGGGAGGGGAAGAGAACATGGGATTTTGTGCGTGTGTGTGTGTGTTCTTTTTTTTCTGTTTTTGGGGGGGATTTGTTTTGTGTGTGTGTGTGTGTGTGTTTTTTTGAGGGGGGGGGCTCGTTTTTTAGGTTGCTTTGCAGGAACTCCGAAAGGAGAACCGCGCTTATTTTGACAGAGGGGACAGTATTCTAGCCCCACAATTGCTCACAAGCAACAACGCAACTCATGTGTCGCATATCTGGACAAGTTCGGGGGTCGAACGGGCTCACTTCTTTGGGAGGTCCTCGCATTCCCGGTTTGCACATCATAGTAATTAATCCAGATTGCTGTGGGAAATTAGGCTGCGGAGTGCGGGGAGTGAATCAGAGGTTGATTCCGAGAAATTGGTCGCCGGAGCTTGGTCTGAGGGCTGTTCCCATTCTGAGCAACCTGGAATTCACATGAGCAGCGCCATAAATCCTGACAATACAAATCAGTACAGGGGCGTGTCCTATAGAATCCCCGTGAAAGCCAAAATGCAGGCCGCGAAAGCTTGCGAAAGCTTATCGCGAAAATAACTAAAGAAGGTCCCGCCGCGAAAGCCCCGCGAAAGCCTGCATGCTGATGATGAGCGGCACTGCTGTTCGCTCACTTTGCAGAAAGGCGCGTCAACAGGAACCTGCAGCTTCTGAGCTCATGCAGCCCAAAGGGTGTGACAGTCCGTCGCGAAAGCGCCGCGAAAGCAATTCTAAAGCAATCGAAGTTCGCGAAAGCAAAACATGGGGTCGCGAAGGCATTGCGAAAGGGTCCGCAAAAGCAAGTTCATAGTACCTCTTTTTGCAAGAGTATTCGGCACGGCTCACATGAAGCCAAGAAGCGTATCTTGGTTCCTAGCTCCGACCTTGCGGATGAAACAAACTGTTCACAAGAACGACACAACAATTCACACTCACACCGGCTGGATTCAGAGGACGCTGCAATACTGCATCACTGTACCTATGAGTTTGGCATTGACGCTTGGCCCATTCGGAGGCATTCAGAACATGAATTTAGCAGCCTGTCGATGGGGGCTGTCGCTTTTCAGTGGGCTTGTGGGCCATTCTGGCGCCTTGCCTGAGGTATGGGCATCGCGCACCAGGCAAGGAGCTTTGTGGACTCATTTGGGTAGGAGCTCCAGTTCCGTTTGGCTTTCCTTGAGGCCAAGGAGAAAAGCTCACCCCAGATAGCAACAAACAAACACACACGCAGAGAGAGAGACACACACACACACACACACACACACACACACACACACACACACACACACACACACACACACACACACACACACACACACACACACACACACACACACACACACACACACACACACACACACACACACACACACACACACACACGCACACACACACACACAAACAAACACACAAACACACAACCACGCAACCACACAACCACACAACCACACACACAACCACGCAAACACACAACCACACAACCACACAACTCACACAACCACACAACCACACAACCACACAACCACACAACCACACAACCACACAACCACACAACCACAACCACACAACCACACAACCACACAACCACACAACCACACAACCACAACCACACAACCACACAACCACACAACCACACAACCACACAACCACACAACCACACAAATCCAAACAACCAAACAACCAAACAACCAAACAACCAAACAACCAAACAACCAACCAAACAACCAACCAACCAACCAACCAACCAACCAACCAACCAACCAACTAACCAACCAACCAACCAACCAACCAACCAACCAACCAACCAACCAACTAACCAACCAACCAACCAACCAACCAACCAACCAACCAACCAACCAACTAACCAACCAACCAACCAACCAACCAACTAACCAACCAACCAACCAACCAACCAACCAACCAACCAACTAACCAACCAACCAACCAACCAACCAACCAACCAACCAACCAACCAACCAACCAACCAACCAACCAACCAACCAACCAACCAACCAACCAACCAACCAACCAACCAACCAACCAACCAACCAACCAACCAACCAACCAACCGCACACACACACACACCACACGCACACGCGCACACACACACACACACTTAGTATTTTTCGGCCTCGCGCTGTGGGAGGCTCGTGTTGTCTCCCCATCTCCGGGGGAAGGCCACAACTGTCGTCCACGCAACCGCCGAGTTGGAAGGGCACTTGTCGTGTTCTTCTGGAAGCGCCTGAGTGACGTTTATTCACTTGGATGGATCTACTTTGTTTACGACCTCTTCGTGTGGTCCCGGCTGCTCATCGAGGCCCCCTAAATGTTAACGCCTCCGGCTCAGGCCGCCGACATTACAGGCCTGCTTTCTTATTTGCGTCCCTTTGGAATTGTCCCCTTGCCCCCTTCCCCTGTGAGATTTTTGCCCCCCTTTCTTTGTTGAGATCCATTCCCCCTTTCCGCCCTAAGGCCTTTTCTCCCTCTGTTTTTTTCCCTTTTCCTCCCTAAGATGTTTTCCCCCCTCTCCCTGTTGAGATCCTTTCCCCCCTTTCCCCCCTAAGGCCTTTTCCCCCCTGAGATCTTCTCCCTTTTCCTCCAATTCCCCCACTTTCCCCCCTACGGCCTTTTCCTCCCTGGGATCTTTTCCCCTGCCTGGGAGCTTTTCCCTTTCCTCACTGAGATCTTTCCCCCCCTTTCCCCCCTACGGCCTTTCCCCCCGCTGAGATCTTCTCCCTATTCCTCCTTAAGATCCTTTGCCCCCTTGCCCTGTTGAGATCCTTTCCCCCTTCCCTTTAAGGCCTTTCCAGATCTTCTCCCTTTTCCTTCCTAAGATTGTTTCCCCCCTTTCCCTGTTGAGATCCTTCCCACCCTTTCCCGCCTAAGGCCTTTCCCCCCTGAGAGCTTCTCCCTTTTCCTTCCTTAGATCTTTCCCCCCTTTCCCTGTTGGCCTTTTTTCCCCCAGATCTTCTCCCTTTCCTCCCTAAGATCTTTTACACCCCTTTCCCTGTTGAGATCATTTCTCCCCTTTCCCCCCTAAGGCCTTTGCCTCCAGATCTTTCCCCCCCTTTCCCTGCTCAGACCTTTCCCCCCTTTCCCCCCTAAGGCCTTTCCCCCCCTGAGATCTTCTCCCTTTTCCTCCCTAAGATCTTTTGCCACCTTTCCCTGTTGAGATCCATTCCCCCTTTCCCCCCCTAAGGCCCTTTCTCCCTCTGAGTTTTCCCTTTTCCTCCCTACGATATTTTCCCCCCTCTCCCTGTTGAGATCCTTTCCCTCCTTTCCCCCCTAAGGCCGTTTTTCCCCCCGCGATCTTCCCCCTTTTCCTTCCTAAGATCTTTTCCCCCCTTTCCTTGTTGAGATCCTTTCCCCCTTTCCCCCCTAAGGCCTTTCCCCCCCTGAGATCTTCTCCCTTTTCCTCCCTAAGATCCTTTGCCCCCTTTCCCTGTTGAGATCCTTTCCCCCCTTTCCCCCCTAAGGCCTTTCCCCCCCTGAGATCTTCTCCCTTGTCCTCCCAAGATCTTCTCCCTTTTCCTCCCTAGGATCTTCTCCCACCTTTCCCTGTTGAGCTCCTTTCCCCCTTTTCCCCCTAGGGCCTTTTCAGATCTTCTCCCTGTACCTCCCGAAGATCCTTTGCCCCCTTTCCCTGTTGAGATCCTTTCCCCCTTTCCCCCCTAAGGCCTTTTGCTTGCCTGGGATCTTCTCCCTTTCCTCACTGAGATCTTTCCTCCCCTTTCCCTGTTGAGATCCTTTCCCTCCTTTCCTTCCTAAGGCCTTTCCCCCCGCTGAGATCTTCGCCCTATTCCTCCTTAAGATCCTTTGCCCCCTTTCCCCGTTGAGATCCTTTCCCCCCTTCCCTTTAAGGCCTTTCCAGATCTTCCCCCTTTTCCTTCCTGAGATTGTTTCCCCCCTTTCCCTGTTGAGATCCTTCCCACCCTTTCCCGCCTAAGGCCTTTCCCCGCCTGAGAGCTTCTCCCTTTTCCTTCCTTAGATCTTTCCCCCCTTTCCTTGTTGAGATCCTTTCCCGCCCTTTCCCCCCTAAGGCGTTTTCCCCCCCAAGATCTTCTCCCTTTTCCTCCCTAAGATCCTTTGCCCCCTTTCGCTGTTGAGATCCTTTCCCCCCTTTCCCCCCTAAGGCCTTTCCCCCCCTGAGATCTTCTCCCTTGTCCTCCCCAAGATCTTTTTCCTTGGTTGAGATCCTTTCCCCCTTTCCCTCGAGATCTTCTCCCTTTTCCTCCCTAGGATCTTCTCCCACCTTTCCCTGTTGAGCTCCTTTCCCCCTCTTCCCCCGAAGGCCTTTTCAGATCTTCTCCCTTTTCCTCCCTAAGATCCTTTGCCCCCTTTCCCTGTTGAGATCCTTTCCCCCTTTCCCCCCTAAGGCCTTTTCCCTGCCTGGGATCTTTTCCCTTTCCTCACTGAGATCTTTCCCCCCCCTTCCCTGTTGCAACAGATCCTTTCGCTCCTTTCCTTCCTAAGGCCTTTCCCCCCGCTGAGATCTTCTCCCTATTCCTCCTTAAGATCCTTTGCCCCCTTTCCCCGTTGAGATCCTTTCCCCCCTTCCCTTTAAGGCCTTTCCAGATCTTCTCCCTTTTCCTTCCTAAGATTGTTTCCCCCCTTTCCCTGTTGAGATCCTTCCCACCCTTTCCCGCCTAAGGCCTTTCCCCCCTGAGAGCTTCTCCCTTTTCCTTCCTTAGATCTTTCCCCCCTTTCCCTGTTGGCCTTTTTTCCCCCAGATCTTCTCCCTTTCCTCCCTAAGATCTTTTCCACCCCTTTCCCTGTTGAGATCATTTCTCCCCTTTCCCCCTAAGGCCTTTGTCCCCAAATCTTCTCCCTTTCCTCCCTAAGATCTTTCCCCCCCCCTTTCCCTGCTGAGATCCTTGCCCCCCTAAGGCCTTTCCCACCCCTGAGAGCTTCTCCCTTTTCCTTCCTAAGATCTTTTCCCCCCTTTCCCTGTTGGGCTTTCTTCCCTAAGTCCTTTTCTCCCAGATCTTCTCCCTTTCCTCCCTAAGATCTTCCCCCCCTTTCCTCCCTAAGATCTTTCCCACCCTTTCCCTGTTGAGATCCTTTCCCCCCTTTCCCTCCCAAGGCCTTTCCCCACTTGAGAGCTTCTCCCTTTTCCTTCCTAAGATCTTTTCCCCCCTTTCCCTGTTGGGCTTTCCCCCCTAAGTCCTTTTCTCCCAGATCTTCTCCCTTTCCTCCCTAAGACCTTCCCCCCCCTTTCCTTCCTAAGATTGTTTCCCCCCTTTCCCTGTTGAGATCCTTCCCACCCTTTCCCCCTCAGGCCTTTCCCCCCCTGAGAGCTTCTCCCTTTTCCTTCCTTAGATCTTTCCCCCCTTTCCCTGTTGGCCTTTTTTCCCCAGATCTTCTCCCTTTCCTCCCTAAGATCTTTTCCACCCCTTTCCCTGTTGAGATCATTTCTCCCCTTTCCCCCCTAAGGCCTTTGCCCCCAGATCTTCTCCCTTTCCTCCCTAAGATCTTTCCCTTCCTTTCCCTGCTCAGATCCTTTCCCCCCTTTCCCCCCTAAGGCCTTTCCCCCCCTGAGATCTTCTCCCTTTTCCTCCCTAAGATCTTTTGCCACCTTTCCCTGTTGAGATCCATTCCCCCTTTCCCCCCTAAGGCCCTTTCTCCCTCTGAGTTTTTCCCTTTTCCTCCCTACGATGTTTTCCCCCCTCTCCCTGTTGAGATCCTTTCCCTCCTTTCCCCCCTAAGGCCTTTTTTCCCCCCGCGATCTTCCCCCTTTTCCTTCCTAAGATCTTTTCCCCCCTTTCCTTGTTGAGATCCTTTCCCGCCCTTTCCCCCCTAAGGCGTTTTCCCCCCCAAGATCTTCTCCCTTTTCCTCCCTAAGATCCTTTGCCCCCTTTCCCTGTTGAGATCCTCTTTCCCCCCTTTCCCCCCTAAGGCCTTTCCCCCCCTGAGATCTTCTCCCTTGTCCTCCCCAAGATCTTTTCCCTTTCCGAGATCTTCTCCCTTTTCCTCCCTAGGATCTTCTCCCACCTTTCCCTGTTGAGCTCCTTTCCCCCTTTTCCCCCTAAGGCCTTTTCAGATCTTCTCCCTTTTCCTCCCTAAGATCCTTTGCCCCCTTTCCCTGTTGAGATCCTTTCCCCCTTTCCCCCCTAAGGCCTTTTCCCTGCCTGGGAGCTTTTCCCTTTCCTCACTGAGATCTTTCCCCCCCTTTCCCTGTTGAGATCCTTTCCCTCCTTTCCTTCCTAAGGCCTTTCCCCCCGCTGAGATCTTCTCCCTATTCCTCCTTAAGATCCTTTGCCCCCTTTCCCCGTTGAGATCCTTTCCCCCCTTCCCTTTAAGGCCTTTCCAGATCTTTTCCCTTTTCCTTCCTAAGATTGTTTCCCCCCTTTCCCTGTTGAGATCCTTCCCACCCTTTCCCGCCTAAGGCCTTTCCCCCCTGAGAGCTTCTCCCTTTTCCTTCCTTAGATCTTTCCCCCCTTTCCCTGTTGGCCTTTTTTCCCCCAGATCTTCTCCCTTTCCTCCCTAAGATCTTTTCCACCCCTTTCCCTGTTGAGATCATTTCTCCCCTTTCCCCCCTAAGGCCTTTGTCCCCAGATCTTCTCCCTTTCCTCCCTAAGATCTTTCCCCCCCCCTTTCCCTGCTGAGATCCTTTTCCCCCTTTCCCCCCTAAGGCCTTTCCCCCCCCTGAGAGCTTCTCCCTTTTCCTTCCTAAGATCTTTTCCCCCCTTTCCCTGTTGGGCTTTCCCCCCTAAGTCCTTTTCTCCCAGATCTTCCCCCTTTCCTCCCTAAGATCTTCCCCCCCCTTTCCTCCCTAAGATCTTTCCCACCCTTTCCCTGTTGAGATCTTTGTTCCCCTTTCCCTCCCAAGGCCTTTCCCCCCCTGAGAGCTTCTCCCTTTTCCTTCCTAAGATCTTTTCCCCCCTTTCCCTGTTGGCCTTTTTTCCCCAGATCTTCTCCCTTTCCTCCCTAAGATCTGTTCCACCCCTTTCCCTGTTGAGATCATTTCTCCCCTTTCCCGATCTTCTGCCTTTCCTCCCCAAGATCTTTCCCCCCCCCTGTTCCCTGTTGAGACCATTTATTTCCCCCCTTTTCCTTCTAAGGCCTTTTCCCACCCTCAGTTCTTCTCCCTTTTCCTCCCAAAGATCTTTCCCCCCCTTTCCTCCCTAAGTCCTTTTCCCTTGAGATCTTCACCCTTTTCCTCCCCTAAGATCTTTTGCGACCTTTCCCTGTTGAGAGCCTTTCCCCCCTTTCCCCCCTAGAGCCTTTTTTTCTCCCCACTTTCCTTGTTGAGATCCTTTCCCCACCTTTCCCCCCTAAGGCCTTTTCCTTCGCTGAGATCTTCTCCCTATTCCTCCTTAAAATCCTTTGCCCCCTTTCCCCGTTGAGATCCTTTCCGCCTTCCCTTTAAGGCCTTTCCAGATCTTCTCCCTGTTCCTTCCTAAGATTGTTTCCCCCCTTTCCCTGTTGAGATCCTTCCCACCCTTTCCCGCCTAAGGCCTTTCCCACCCTGAGAGCTTCTCCCTTTTCCTTCCTTAGATCTTTCCCCCCTTTCCCTGTTGGCCTTTTTTCCCGCAGATCTTCTCCCTTTTCCTCCCTAAGATGTTTTCCCCCCTTTCCCTGTTGAGACCTTTCCCCCCTTTCCCCCCTAAGGCCTTCTCCCTTTGCCTCCCCAAGATCTTTTCCCCCGGTTGAGATCCTTTCCCCCTTTCCCCTCGAGATCTTCTCCCTTTGCCTCCCTAGTATCTTTTCTCCCTGTCCCTGTTGAGATCCTTTCCCCCCCTTTCCCCCCGAAGGCCCGTTCAGATCTTCTCCCTTTTCCTCCCTAAGATCATTTGCCCCCGTTCCGTGTTGAGATCCTTTCCCCATTTCCCCCTAAGGCCTTTCCCCCCCTGAGATCTTAAGGCCGTTTCCCCCCCTGAGATCTTCTCGCTTTTCGATCCTTTCCCCCCCTTTCCCTTCCCCCCCCTGAGATCATATCCCTTTTCCTCCTTTTTCCTCCCTAAGATGTTTTCCCGCCATTCCCTGTTGAGATCCTTTCCCCCCTTTCCCCCCTAAGGCCTTTTCCCCCCTGAGATCTTCTCCCTTTTCCTCCCTAAGAGCTCCCACCTTTCTTTATTGAGATCCTTTCCCCCCTGTCCCCCCTAAGGCCTTTTCGCACCCTGAGTTCGTCTCCCTTTGCCTCTCTAAGATCTTTTCCCCCCTTTCCCGCTTAAGATCCTTCCCCCGTTTCCCCTAAAGCCTTTTCCCCCCAAGATCTCCACCCTTCTCTTCCCAAAGTCTTTTTCCCCCTTTCCCGTTTGAGATCCTGTCCCCCCATTGCCCCGTAGGGCCTGTTCCCCCCGAGAAAGATTTCCCTTTTCCTCCCAAAGATCTTTTCCCCCCTTTCCCCCTTAAGGCATTTTTTCCCCAGATCTTCTCCCTTTCCTCCCTGAGATCTTTCCCCCCCTTTCGCTGTTGAGATCCTTTCCCCCTTTCCCCCCTTCATTTCCTTCACCAGCATGGGCAACATCCCCAGCATCACTTGCATCATCCGCATCCTTGGCAGGCGCTGATGCGGATGATGCAGGTGATGCTGGATCCTTTCCCCCGTTTCCCCCCTAAGGCCTTTTCCCCCCAAGATCTCCACCCTTCTCTTCCCAAAATCTGTTTCCCCCTTTCCCGTTTGAGACCTGTCCCCCCATTGCCCCGTAGGGCCTGTTCCCCCCGAGAAAGAGCTCTCGCAGTCCAGCGGGCCCGTGGAGGCCGCCCCGGTGACTGTCAGCGTGGCGCCCGTGAGCGCATCGCCAGCATCACCTACATCATCCGCATCAGCGCCTGCCAAGGATGCGGATGATGCAAGTGGTGCTGGGGATGTTGCCCATGGAAAGATCTCAGGGAGGAAAGGGAGAAGATCTGGGGAAAAAATGCCTTAAGGGGGAAAGGGGGGAAAAGATCTTTGGGAGGAAAAGGGAACTCATTGACGGCCTCGGGCGCAGCGACGGCGGCGAGCTTCGCAGCCACCGGGGTGCCGCTGGAGCTGCTAAGGATGCGAAAGCGCAAGCCCGCACAATGAACAGATTTAGTGAAGCGTCTTCGAATCACCGCGTGGTACGTGGACTCCCCCCTGGTGCCCCTGGGGAGGGGTTAGGGGAGGGGTAACAGGTAAAGAGGTAAGGAGCATTTTTTGTGTCCAACACGCCGTCTGTTGTCGGCGGAATTTGCTCATAACCTTTCCAGTTCGCGGCAACGTTCTGAGCTATTTTATCTGGGGGGCGAAAGAAGCTTCCTGGTGGCGCAGATACTGCAATCCAGCTTGCTCCAGCACTGAGAGAAAGAGTCAGTACTATTGACCCGCTTTTGGAATTGCAGAATAGCATCACCCCGGCTCCCTCAGACACTTCACAAGCAGATGTACCCTAGGAATCGTTTGCCGAAGTGGGCAGATACAGCGCGTTGTATTATCTTCAATATGGTGCGTATGTGTTGATTGTTTCTTGAGTCGTTGGCTTCATTTGCCTCGGCAAGGCTGGGGTCAAGAGCCAGCTCGGGGCGAACATTGTGGTTGGAGCGGCGTGGCAGTGGAGTATGCAATCAGATGGAGACAGTCCGTTTATCCGTTTACCTTTTCTTCAACCAAAGGCAAAGACTTTTTGCCTGGGTCCAAGCCCGGATTTGAGCCCCGGCCATGGATCTCGTCCTTTCGCAGCATGTGGGATGTAGTGAAATGTTTTCGGACGAGCACGACTAGAAACGTTAACGAGTCGTGTCGCTGAGATGTAGACTTCGAAGAGTTGCTCCAAACGCCGTGCTGTCAAAGCTGGGTAGCCAGTTAGCAAGGCCAGGTATGTTGGACCCCCAGATTGAGTTCGTTGATTGCAGCACTCCTCCAGAACACTTGATGCCCATAGTTCAGCCTTCATGCGAGCTGGTGCCCGTCGCAAGTGGAGTGGCCTTTTGCAAGCCTTCTGACTCTGGCCCAAAGAGTCCAATACGGTAAGCCCAGTTGACAAGTCATGACACGTTGAGATTTGGAAGTGCTGTGCGTTCTAGGCTGGAAAACAGAAGAGGAAGCTTCATGTTGTTTGAGATGAGGCCGTTTGACACTTTTTTCCTACGTACCTGATCCCACGGACATGTTCATTGCTGAACCGTTTGGCTGGTATATCCAATTTGAGCACACGGCAGTCCGTATGAGGAGGGTCTCTGAGTTGCTGCTTTGAGGTGGTGGTTTGCTTGGGCGTGCTCCTCTTCAGCAGGCGGGGATTCGGGATCCTGCTGCCAGCCATGTTGACAGGTGACTCAACTTGGATGCCTACTAAAATGCATGTGCTTCATCTTCCAGGACCCTGGAAAAGCAGGCCTTTGGCCGAATTTCCATTTGGTTTCGCGGGTCCTTGGAAGACCAAGGATGTACTTGTCAATCTGGAACATGCCGCTTGTGAAGGGGGACGCGGAGCCCCCTCGCGACCTTGTGTTCACACGCAAAGGGCGGTTCCAAGAAAGGAGTTCGCACTGAAAGCTATTTGCGCTCGAAATTGGCCAAGATTGAAGATGCGTTGAGTCTTTGACCCATGCTCTTTGGAAAGAGGTCATGGACCACTTGGTTGATCTCCTTTTCCCATCACCGTACCAGACAGCAAATCACAAGTAGTTAGGCATGATCATTCCTTGTCACTATGCTGCCCACACAGCGTGGTGGGCAGCCGAGGCCAGTTGGGTGACCGGTGTGAGGTTTTCTTGCCCTTGACATGGCAGTTACATCCAGCACGTGCCCATGTGCGTGCTGAATGCGATCATTGTGAATGGCGCCTCGCACCTGACGGAGTTCGATCAGGCAGGCCGACGAGAGTTTGGGCAGACCTACCCGCATTCTAGTAAAAGGTTCCCAACCTATAGCAGTCGAAATGTTGGGAATCAGGCCCGGAGTGCCATCAAACAAGGTGTTCGATGATGTTTTAGGGATGGGGGAGACACCTCGAAAGACATTGGTTTCGGAATCTAGCACCTGAATCATACTGAGTACCGAGTCATCAAATCTTGGGATGACATAACCTCACCCAAACCAGGGTTGCGGGAACAAGTTGTTTTCCCCCACGGTCAAAACAATGGGGTGAAGACTTGGCTCTTTGGAGTGACAACCCCGCCGACCTTCTGGTTGGACAAATTTGTTTTTTCCCACACCTAGCAAATGTGTATCGACCTTTTGCTCAGGGGTCTTGGAGAAGCCCAGAAAATCCCTGGTGTCCAGAAGTCAATCAATCCCGACTTTTGCTGCACCTTTTGGCAGTTCCCCCCTTACCCAAATCGGGTTTTGGCTCACCATGGAGCGCTACCCGAAGGCAAAGCCCAGACATTTCGAGATGGAATCACCCGACCTTGAGCCTTTCAACAAAATCTTACTGCGAATCGACCGTTTTGATCTTGGGGGTGGCCAGAACTTTCTGGGCCGTAAGTTGTAGGGCTCCGAGGAACTCCGATGGATGAGTAGTAGTTGTTCAATCTTTCCAGACCCTCAACCTTACACTCAGGCTTCCCCTACACTGCAAACAACAGGTTTCGGAAAGTCACACGGGTGTTCTCCAAGAAAATCCCTGACTTCACGAAACAGGTTAGTTTTCATTGGTGTGCTCTTGTGAATTCGTTCTCCAAGAGAGGCATCGTGTTGTCAGTAGCGACCTGGTCCCATATCAATAGCAGGCGCTAGCGCAATCCGTTGAACGGCCGTCACTTCACGAGAAGAGGACTATAGAAACCAATCGCTGCGTCGTATAAACTTGTTCCGAGCTTGCTCAGCACACTTGCGCACGCAGAGCAGCTTGCGCGGAACTCTTGGGCCGAGCACTTGCACGGAGCAAGACTTGCACAGAGTTCGCAGCACTGAAGCTTATCAGTCCCAAAAGGACACGTATAAGCACGTGCGCGGCAAAGCTTTGGCATGGAAATGTGTGGGCAGTCTGTGCAGACACTGTTGAGCAGCCGTTTACGTCACGTTTACCTCGAGGCTTAGCGTAGCCTTGTGGCTTGGTGGAAGTTCTTGCGTTGTGGCTTTGAGGTTTCTGAGGTTTGCAGGTTGACGACCCAGTGTTTGCTTAGAGTTTCTGCAAGAAGGCAAGCAAGCGCACACACACGCATGAAACCAACACTCACTTTCCATTATGTTTTTCGGGCCACCCGGGTTTTAGTTCATTGTCGCTCGGCGTGCAATCATCTCCCAGCACCCTTTCTGCCCCCCACCTCAAGATGGGCAGATCCGTGAAACGTGTGTTTTGGCCGTGCTGTGGGAGAAATCATTAAATCTGGAGCGCTGAACTCAAGTTCACCAACAAAAAAAGGTTTCCCGGTTGCTCCTGGAACGGGTTTCGGGCAGGCACCCTCAAACAGATTGAAAACCACGTGCCCTGGTGTCAGAAGAGCAATCAAGGCCCATGTAGATGTTTTGTTTGTGGGCCCTGTTGGTTGGTTTTAAAGGGAAACCAAGAGTGCGCAAATCTGAGACAAACCCGCGTGAACGTTTGCAGGCTGTGGAGCTCTGGAAGTTTGCCACCAATAAGCGATACAACTGGAAGACACGAGGACCCGACTCCGGTGCTCCGCTTCCTGTACTCTGTTTGCTCAGTTTGTGCATGTAACCTTATTCAATGTTTTCCCTTGTGCCTGTTTAGCGCAGGGCCGCAGTGCCTGAATAATGTTAAAGACATATGGTCATGCCCACTTGCAATGTATCCCACCCAACAGGACTTGATACTCAGTAGCGTGGCGGGCATGGCTTTGTCGTGCTTAAGTCTTTAAATCCGACTCAAGGAGAACATGTTTTTGCCAGAAGGGGGTTGGAAGTCGGAGTGCCCCGCTCTGAGAAAGCTGGGGAATGATTGTGCGTCGATCCTGGCCAACATGTTGCATTCCTTCCGTCTTTAGCCGTGGTCTGCACTCGTTCAGCGATTCAAACCCATGTCGTGCCAATGTGTCATCCCGAGTCTGTGTCTCAACCGCTTTTGAAGAAGGACTCCTTCCACCGCCGCTTTGTGCTCGTGGTGTTGTGTCCCACTCCCGAAGTATACATCCTCACTCATGTGTACACAGATACGGCAGCCGTTGTCCTTTTGCGGTGATGTTCCCCCTGGCCCCCCTGGTGTGTCTATCCACAGCAGGATCAATCTCCCTTTTTCAAATTAAGGAGCAACGCTCTCGTGCGGGGGTTAGCGCTAATCCAAACCACTTTCGCCAGGAGACATGCTGACCTGGATCATCGGCTTCTGCATGCGGCTCAAAACCCACAGCTGTGGTTTGACAGTGTGTGTTTTGCGAAGGTGCTCGTTTTGAAAAAGAAATCGTTTTGTTGTTTGAGAGGGGTCCCCCTGTTTGGACACACATCTCACATATTTGTCTGGCATCATTGGACTGTTGTACGTGAACAAAGGGGTCTTGTTTTTGGTTGCTCCCCAATGAAGTTGGTGATGCTGGGGATAGGCTTGGGGTAGATGCTGGCTTTTGTGAGTGCTTCCTTCAGCAACGCTGCCCTTGACTTTCGTTCAAAGCTATCTAGCTTGAGATTTGCGTGTTTTCGAGTGGCAGGTGACTTTCAGCTCCCACACTGCTTCAGGCGTGCAACTTGTGATTTAACACCCAGCGTGCCTGGCACAAATTGCGGCGAGGGCTCGCGCGAGTGGTCCCATTGCTTTGATCCATGTCATTGAGCAATCTTCAAGCTTCGGGGCGTTTGTTACGCCGCACAATCGGTATGTTGTTTCATGTGTGATATGTAGTCACCCAACCAGGTCCTTATGCATGTTCCAACCCAAAGTCAGTCGCCCACGGCTTCTATCCTGTGCTCTAAGGCTGCACCCTCTACTTTGGCGCTTTTCAGGGTACCTTGGCTCGAGATTGGAGACAGCTGAGCTGCGTCCTTGTTTTTGCATGGGCTTTGCGCGGGGGGCCTATGTACCATACAATTGGCAAGCTTGAGACGACTTTGGGCCAAGCTGGAGTTGTCACAGGTCGCTAGATGAGTCGGCGCAAAGTAGTCTATATGAAGAGTACTTGAACAAAGCCGGCGTCTGTGGGTAGTCGTTTGCCACCTGTGTCACAATCAAACTTTACAGGCTAGTTTCAGTTGATGTGATGCATGCAGATCATCCAGGCCCTGGGTATTGGCAGATCCCAAATCCGAGGAATGCTGTCAGCAGTCTTCGCATCTTTGATCATCATCCTGTATCAGGTCGGGCAGTTCTTGGACTTGCGCCTGCGGAACTGTGCATCTTGTCCCGTGCAGATTCTTGCAAGCGACCGAATCAGTCGTCTATGCCCTTGAGCAGAGATGATACGGACCCAATCCAGAGAGGTAGGCAGACATGTTTGAACGGCTGATGTGGGCATTGCCCAAACGGTAGGAACGGAGCTTGCAGGAAGCCAACACGTCTCACTCAAAGGCCTCCCTTTGACTTGCAAATCGGAGAGGACTTCGGTTTCATCTTGGCCGTTGGCAAATGCACAAGATCGCTCCGAACAAAAACCATTTTGACAACTGGTCCTGGGTCGAAACGAAGCCGGACCTTTGTTGGAGCTTCCTCTACCGAGAGGAACCAGTGCGCAAGCGTCAGACAGTTGAAGGTTCCAACTTTTCTGTGCACACGCACCTAAAAGACTACCCGTCCAGCAAGTCCGTGGATGTGTTGCCAACGCTCATGACTGTTACGAAAGGGCATTCCACAAATTTGAGGGAATTTCTTTGGTATTTACCATGATTTACATACCAAAACAGGAACCCTTTGCTTTTAGGGGCCCTTTTTCGACCTAGCAACCGGCTCGGGCACTTTGGGCCCGATAGCAGGTGGTGAACCCGGACATCGTGCAGCTGGGCTTCCGCGAGGGCGACGTCATGGACGCCGCAAGGCGGCTTCGTCGCGGTTGGGGCGAGGGTGGCGGCTTGGAGCTACGTACATGGGGCCCCCCAAAAGCACAATTTCATGCAGGGTTGGCCATATGCAGAATCTTAATATTTTATTTTATTTTTCTGGGCTAGCCCGGAGTGGGGTCTATATGAGGGGTGTGCCAAAGGCTGGACCCGAGAAAGGCAAAGATTGGGCTTGGGGGTGCATTTTGGTAGGAGGCAGTTTCCACATTTAAGTCGTGATGCAACCAATTTACACGTGGGTATGCTTCAATCAGGGCGGACACCCCACAATGGTGTTTTTCGTTTTGGTGTCCCTTTAACCCAAGGTCAAAATGATGGCACCCTCAAAAAATAAGACATGCGCAACTTGCTGGTACCTGCCTGGGGGCGTTTGAAAGACCAGTTTCATTTACCAAGGACCTTTTGGATTCCATGTTCGTGGATGGGATGCTTAAGTTGCAACCATGCAGTAAGTGGGATAACGTGGTGTTCATTCACTTATCACATGGGGCATCTAACCTAATTGTCAAACAACAATGGTGGTTGGGGGAAGCCTTGTTGCAAAGGGGACACCACATGGAAGCTACTCAAGCAATAGCTCCCTTTTGTGTCCCCATTGAGAGTTGATCAAATAGGTCCCTGCAAGGAGATATGTATTCGGTGACCATTGGTGTTGATTTAAGTCCCTCCGCGAAAGATCCGTTGGGTTCTTAGAGGTATGCCCGTGCACTATCGTGCACATATATATATATATATATATCTATATATATATATATATTTGCAGACCCCACTCGCTTGTAGACAGGGAGATGTGCAGCACGTTTGCTTGCATCCTTGTTTCCCTGCCGGTGCTGAGAATGGTGCGAGGAAAAACATTGGCTGGGCTATGTTGGAGCAAGTTTCGGCAAGATCCGCGAAAGGCTGGCGAAAGTTCACGGAGCTTGTGGCAAGGTTCGGCAGGTTGGGCCCAGGACGGAGCATTCCCGGCAAGCACAAGTGGCAATGGCGAATGATAGTGACTGCTTTCATTTCTCGCTGCTGCAAGCCTGCCAGCTTTGCTTTCTGTCAAACAAGCGAATTCGCCTTTTTCAAGTTGGGATCACCTACATAGGCATTCCGAGTTCTGAGATATTGATCCTTTGCGTTTGCCTTTGCAAAAAGGTCCTTGGTCTGGTTATTTGAGCAAAATTGGCAACCTCTGCATGGAGCCCGTTAGTCCATGGGCGCCAGTAGTACAGGATCTTCGGTTTGAACCGGCGCACACCCACAAAAACACACACCCACCCACCCGACGTAGGTAAGCGCGCACACACACACGTACACAAGCGTAGGCACACACACACACACGCACGCACGCACGCACGCACGCACGCACGCAAACGCACAGTCATACACACGGTCGCTGCCTTCCACCTAGCCCACTGGGCCACTAACCCAACCACGCAGCATAGAAGACTGATCCCAGAAGAGCGCATGTTCACAGGGAACGGATGGAGATGATGCTTGTTTGCAGGTGTAACACGCAAAGACGTCTAGCGACATCGATGATATTCACTCCAACTGCGAGATGAGATGTGTGTGTGTGTGTATACTGTTCTATGGTGAATAGGTTCTGAAATCCCAAGTTCATCAGCATTCAGCTGCTGATAGTTTTTTGGGCCCATTGATTCTGCAAAGAACAAGAAGCCGTTGGTCATCAGGACGTCCGGTTCCAACTCTTGCCCTAGCCATGTTTGAAAATGCTTTTCAGGTGGTCAAACAAAATGGAACAATCCCGTAGATCTTGATGGAGACAGGCAGCATGCTGAGGGTCGTACTTACAAATGGTCGCGGCCAGGCCCCGCAAGTGGATGGCGCTGGATCGCAAAGGTGGGGCAGATTCGAGCCGCAAGGGGGTGCGGGGGTTGGGGAAGACGGGGTTTGCATGATGAGGTGCCAGCTGGCTGTTTGTGTTGAAATAATGCAGCTTCCCACGCTGGCAATGTCATTGCTTCCAACCGGTGGCTGATTGGAGGGTAGGGAGAATGTTTCGATCTTGCGCAAGATGTGATGTGTTGAGTGATCATCTTGCATGAGAACTTCTTGCAGCCCACTGAAGCACAAGCCTAGCCGACAAACTCTGAGATGGAGTTGGCTGCGTGACTGCAAACCGCTAAATGTATAATAGCTTGTTCAGAATGCTGTATATGGTGGTGCTGGCGGTTCAAGCCGGATGCAAACGTTGATTACATGCCCTTGCCCCAACAATTGCCAAACGCCGAGAGAGAAGACCCAAGGCCTTCAGAACACGGCGACGGGAAGTGTACTGTAGCTCTTTTGGCTGACGTGTTTTTGTCATTACTAGAATAGTATTGGATGGATTCCTTGGACTTGCAGCCTTGCTTGTTCGTGGGAAAGGTTATTTTGTTGATTCACCTCGATTCCGTGACTTTGGAGCATTTGGACCTGAAACTGAACTTGCCAGGTGCTGTGAAGGAGCCTCAGATCCTGGTCTTTCGCCTGGAGGGTCCCCTCTTTTACGCCAATGCGCCATGGCCAGTGTTTGGAACCTGTGCCTACATCGCTGGCAGGGGACGGTCCCTGACAGACATGCTTTGGGAGGGGTTAAAGGCTTGACAACTGGCACTGACCGAAGCTCTATCGTGTGTAAGGCCTTTGCTTGCTTATCCTGAGTCTGATAGGGATTCTGTGTAATGTGGGTCACTGATTATCGAAGAGCCCCCCCAAGCAACTGAGAGACTCACTGGGGAAAACTCATGAAACGACTTGGGAGTCATATTGGCCTTTCCCAAGTGTAGTACTGGCTTGGTATTGGTTAGTATTGGTTTAGAATTGTTCTGTGTTGCCTTTGTACTGGCTTAGTATTGGTTAGTATTAGTTTAGTTTTGCTTTGGAACTGGTGTACTATTGCTTTGTGCTGCCTTAGTACTGGCTTAGTGTTGGTTTGTAGTAGTTTAATTTTGCTTAGGCTTAGTATTGGCTTTGTGCTGCCGTAGTACTGAGTTGGAACATAGCCGGATCTGCTCTTTTTTTGCGAACCAACAAGCATTATGTTGGATTAGTTACACTTTTCCGTTTGGGGGTAGATCATAAATTTGGGAAGCAATTATTGTATTTGGTCCCCGTTGACTAATCGGATATGGACATTTGCTTCCTGAACTATGACTACCGACTTGGATGAATGGCCAGAGCTGCCCAAAGCTACCTTTGTTTTTGTGGGTTTCCTGCCACAAGCCAAGACAGCGTTCGGAAGTTCAGCTTTAAACGATTTTAGGCCAACGGATTGATCTGCCGGGTACCCGAGCCCTCGGTCAGTGTTGAGTTGCATTCTACGCCGGGGTGATATCTCCTAAGCAATGGCCAGCTTGACTGTCCGATGTTCGAAGAGGCTTGAGGAGGAACCTGTCACTCGGTTTTGTTTGGGGCGGTGGTGACCAAGCGAGGCCCTTTTGCTCAATTTCCATAGTGCAATCAATTTGTGAATACCCATTCATGTTTAAGTATTGTCCGTTTCTAGAGCTATCTTTTGAAAGACCGGCGCTGGGCAAGATACCATGTTTTTGACCTCCACCAGGTGAGCACATACTTTTCAAGTTCGGATACTGCATCAGGGCGCACAGGCGAGAGCTTTGGGCTGGAAGAGCGTGTGTTTTCAGCCAAGGTGGAGCGGCTGCAAGAATGGGTGGAGGAACAGGAGCCATGGCCATGTGATTTATCGGCCCACCTGAGAACTGGCAAGAGATGCAAGGGGTGACAAGCACCCATGGAAGAATCAAGCATTGTGTGCCATTGGAGTGGTTTCCTTTGAGTGGTGCAAGGTTTGCTTTGGACCCAAAATGACCCGTGGATTGATGTAGGGAAGGGCTCGAATCTGGTAGGAAGGACCATGGGGAAGGAAGCAATTCATGTGCTTCCCTCTTGGCTGCAGGAGGTGGAGATTGGCGAAGAGGAGGGCGAGCTCATCGGCATTGTCCTGTCAGACCTTTGGCTAAAGCGAAAGACTTTGGGACTTGAGCCGCTTTCGGATGGCGCGGGGCTGTGCTTCAAGATACCAAGCCTGAAGAGAACACGCTGGGGTCAAATGGGGAGTGCACAGGACCCTTTGAGCAGAAAAGAAAACCGGGGCTTTGGAATCCCGCGTGTATACAGCATGCATGTATGGCATGCTGTGATGCTATCGGAGCCGCGGAGCTGGGAGGATCGTCAGTTTCCATAGCACACCTGGATCCGGTGAAGCACTGTGAGCAAACCGAGGTGCTCCTTTCCTTTAGTGGCTCGGCCAAGCGTTCCGCTGAGTCAGTTTCAGTCCTTGCAAGTGGCAGCCGGCATACTGACGACACTGCTTGCCACGCTGAGTTAGTGCGAACTCTGCTGCAAGCATACCGGCACGCCGCCAAGCTGTGCGCACGCGTGGAGACTCATCTCCTTGCCAGGTAGCTTGAGGAAGCAAGCTCATCTTTCAAGCGATTCGGCGCAATCTCGTTGGCTACAAGCTCCGCCGGCCGGGTTTCACGGGGGCTCATGATCCGCGTCTATGCGCCGTTGCCAGTTTCTCTGAAGCCCGAGATCATTTTGAGCGCGCCAAGTTGCATGAAAGTAATCAATGCTGGGCGTGCGTTTGGCCTTGCAGATCACAACTTCCGCTATGCCGTGCCATGGCACCTCGCTCCGAACTCTCCCTGAGACCGCTCGCTTCTCAAAGGTAGCCTTCATACTCGGTACTTGATGCTCGCGCCTATTCGCCCTTCAGCTGTTTACTTGAGTTGATACTAAACTGTTTTCGACAATGCCGCAGGATGTGGCAACTTGTGGCATTGTCCTGTGTCACATGCGTATCGGATCTTCCCTTTACCGGTCTTGCTGCTCCAATCACATCCCAAGCTGGGATGTTTGTTGGACAGCCCGATGCCAAGGCTCTCAAGAAGCTTGCTCGCATGACGCACACACACATCAAGGTATGTTTAGGTCATAGCTTGAAGTCAGTAGACCGTGCAGGACCGGGGGAAAAGGGTTGAAATGACCAGCGTTGGGTGGGATGTTCAGCGCCAACCGAGGCCTCGGCCATACCCTTTATGGACACCACAGCAGTGCAGGCCCTCTCAGCGCTCATTAAGACGTGGCTCGGCCTGAGATCAGATTTGGTGTGGCTGAAGCTTGACTGGCCGTGGCGGTGATACAAACCACCTGAGGGAAACCTGGTTAGATGTCACTCTTGGCGAGCGAAGAGCTGGCTTGGGAAAGGTAAAGCAAGCTCGGGATCCGTGCAAACAGCTTGGCGGCCGCTTCAACAGACCGGCCGCTCGAGATGAGAAGTCATTTGGCCAGAGGAGGTGTTGCTTGCGCGCGAAGTTGTCCCCATGACCGTAAAGTTTGTCCACGTGCCTTTCAATCCGGATGCTGGAGCTGTGACAACGATCGTTTGTTCTTTCGGGAAGAATGTGGTCGCGGGGGGTTAAAAGAATACCCACGACATATTGTTATTTTTGGCAGGGCTTCATCAGCTGCCTTTTTGGTTGCTGTGTTTGTTTGATGTGTTGCTCCCATCAACTGTCCATTGGCCAGCCAGTTGGCCGTTCGATGTATATTTATGCATATATATATATATACACACGTACGTTTCTATGTATGTACCATGTGCACTTGTCTATATATATATATATGAATCTGCACATGTCTCAGTATACGCATCTCATCAAGTCACAGGAGCCACAAGTACACCAATCGTTGGCGTTTGGCTAGCAATTTTGCCTTGACCAGGTGCAGCGAGCGCGGCACCCTTTTCTGCATCGCCAATACCTTCGGTCAGACTGGACGCACCTCAGCGAGCTGTGAGCGGCGAGCATTCAACAGCAACTGATGGCCACATCGAAGCTCCCAAAAGCGCCTGCAAAGACTTCCGTCTCAGTTTATTGCCTGAATGGTTAAAGACTTTGGCGAAAGGCGGTTTTTCACCTGTGAACATGGAAAGGGCAGGGGCGTTTTAGACAGTTACAGTTTTTCCAGGACACTTGCGCGGTGCATGTTTGATGTGGCTGGCGCAAGTAATCCGGCTCTGGCTGCCAGACCGCATTGTAGAACGCACCGCTTGACAATTGTTTTGGAGCTTGCTGACTGATAATTGTAGTGTTGAAGTGTCTTCACCATTGAGAGGCAATCATTTGAAATTGGGTGATCCAAAAGGGGTTCTAACAAATGATTCACAAATGGGATGTAGTACGCAACCCACAATATTGTCCTTTGCAGGCTAGAACCTGCCAATTGGACCCGTCTAGGGTCCCCTGGATTCTGGAGCATGTCTCAGCTTTTAGCAGTCTTCTGGTTCTGTTGGATGTTCAATGCTCTGATACTGGGTTCACCTGCATCACTTGCGCTCAGCTCACGTTGGGATGGGATGCCAGGATGTTGCTCGGTGGCAAAGGTTTTCTGGCACTTTGCTTACCATGCCAGTGCCATGTTCTAGGGGTTGATTCCTTGTCCATTCGTTTCAACCATCGTTCTTTTCAAGAACCAGCTGTTTCCCCAGGGCCTTGTGTGGTTTTTTGTAGAAAGAAGGATGCCTGGAAAGAATGGAAATGGAAGGTACCCCTAGAAATGTCCTTGGCCCGGCTGGAGCTTGCAGCTCACGTCACTCGCGAGATCTAAGGCATTGCCGCGGATCAGCTGGAGCCGCTTCTGAAGGAGTCCATTACAGATTCCTTCCTCCGGTCACAGCTCCAGAACTGCTCCAGCATGGACCCCAGCACCGGACGGATCCACAGATTTCGGCACTCAGGAAAGTCACAAACCACCCAAAAAGCGGATGCCCCAGAATGAGCTTCCCTTGCAACTGGTGTTTTGGCTATGCTAATCTGGAGGAAGCGCCGCTCCAAACGCTGTGGCCGTTTTCGGCCCGCAAGAAGGAGGATCCCTTTTGATAACCTGGTCGAAAGCGTTCAACCGATAGGTTGTGTTGGGTTTTCCGCGTTGTTTGGCATTTGAAGCCACTGATACACCAGCAAACGCGCCCAACATGGCTTGGGTGTTTATGTTGCAAAGTGCGGGCTCGAGCTTGACAGTTCAATTATCTTGGTTAAATGTCCGAGTTGTTATTTTGGGTCGCTTGGTCCTGATTATAGCAAAGAATCGCAAGCCTTTTGGCGTGTGCCCCCTTTGGCTCTGCGAAGCTTCAGCAGGCTCTACGTTTGATGCCTGGCCACACGATGGGCAATAGCCAGTGGTCCCATTTGTGCAAACAATCTATGTGTATGCACTTGATCGTCAATGCATTGCACGAAGCTTGTGTGGGCTAGGTGTCTGCTTTAGTATGTTCGAATTGTGTTTGTTCCAGCTTGACCGCCGTTGAGTGGGTTAAATTGGTTCAACACGAGCTCTCTGAGATTGACCCTCTTCCAAACCACGTCAGACAGTCCGCTTATTCAACGCCTCGCTTTTAAGCAGGCATGCTTGTGTGGGTGGCCCCTGCGGACTCAGCGTTGGCCCTCTTTGCTCACAGCCGTCCAGTTTTCGAGGCGTGGACGACTTCGTGCGGCTGATCCGCGCTTACAAAGAGGTGGGGGCCTTGCTTATTTGGGCTGAGTGACGAAGTTGATGCAGCAAAGGACCATTTTGTGGTGTTGCAATGGTTGCCAAGAAGTTGCAAGATTGCAACATTACCACGATTCATAAGAATCATGTTTTGCTTCCCTACGCTTTCTTTTCGTCGCAACTGCAGCTGCGAAGCTGGGTTGCCTTTGAGCTTGCTTGATTGTAGAGTGGGTCAGCACGTTCCTGTCACCTGTCATTGCCAGCAATGAGCCTCACACGCAAGCTCTTGAACACGAATCTTTCTGCACTGCTGAAAGTTCTGCTTCGAAATCATAGCCTTTAGAGCACATTGTGGAGGACAACGACAAGACTCAAAAGGAAAAACTCGGCCAAATCGTTTCCCAGACTGCCGCAGCCTTGCAGAGTAAGGAACACTCAGGTTTTCAAAGGCCCCGATCTTTTGTGTGATAGACAACTCAATACACCAACCCACATGATGACATGGACGTTGCACCATTCACCGACCATGAGAATGAATAATAACAAGCTCACAGACAGCCCTGGTTGTTATTGTTGAAGGAGCAAAGCCATGATGAACATGTTTCCCAGTTCACCTTGGAGATTTGCCAACAGCTTCGTTCATTCCTGGTTGGTGGTGAGCATGGTTCAGCCTTCTCCCAAATCATTCGCTGTTGTTGCATTTGGGCAACTTACATTGTCCCGCAAGCAACAAGCAGTAGCGGCGGGGGCAGCAGCAGCAGCGGCCGCAGCGGCCGCAGCAGTCGCAGCCGCCTTCACTTGGCAACACATTCACATAATTCACATAATTTTGTCACGTTTGGCTCAAGGGAACAGCTTATCGAAAGACATGGCTGTGCGCAAATCAGAAGGGTCGAGGCAAGTCTGTCTACGGACTAATTATCATAAATCATCGGTGTCGTTTCTCAAAGGCTTCATGTGCGGCAAGGATTGGAGCAAATTCAAGGCTGAGCTTTCACAAGCCCCGCAGGCGCACAGCGACGTCACCACTCACTGCCTCATGCGCGCCTCCATGCTCCAGACGAAAAGCCCCCCGGCATGCACCTTTGACATGTGACGCAGGGTGACACACTTTGGATGAAGGGAAAGCTCGGCCTGACAATGGGCCTTCCTTCGCATGGATGGTGGTTTGCCTGGTTGCTTGGTTGCTCGGTTGCTTGCTTGCTCGGTTGCTTGGTTGCTTGGTTGCTTGGTTGCTTGGTTGGGGGGGTGATTGCATGGGTTGCATGGTGGCCGGCCGGGCGGGTGGGCGTCTTGTTGGCTTGGCATGCTTGGCCGGTTCCAATGCTGAAGCACGTCTGGCGCAAGTCCACCCCGACAGCAGATCTTCGCTTTGTGCCGGCCTTTGACGGATTCGTCGGGCCCCCTCTCCGATTGGCTGTAGCCTTTGAAGCGAACTGCACCAACCATCGCACCCGACATTGGCCGCGTCATGGCGCCCCGCCCCCGCTGCGGCAGCGGCGGCTCCTGGATGAGCCTCACATCTTTGAAGAGTGATAGTGAGGAGCGTCTCTACGCGGAGGAGGATGGGGCGGCAAGGGGCGGAAAGGCTTGTGCTGGGTCCGTGAGAGATCAAGACATCCTGGAAATGACCCGAGCGAAGTTGTGGTATCAAAATGACCGAACAAGTCATTCTAAGTTTTCACAACCCCTCAATTGGTCACCGTAAATGACGCAGCTGGGGTCCCTGAGCGGAAGCTCAACGAGATATATAGACATATATGGCATTTTGTTTTAAGGGTCTGTCTGTAGCGGAGGATTCTGTGATCACGGAGAATCTTGGGTTTCAAGTTGCAGCCTTTATCGAAGGTGCACGAAGACTTTTCCCACCGACACGGAGGTTCAAAAGCTGCGGGAGCTGGCGGGCATTTGTCATTGGCCCCTCGCGTGTTCTTGTCGGGCAGGTGCCGCTATTGCATGCTATTGCTTGGTGGTGGCCCTCTTGCCCAACATATATGTTGCTGTTCCGGGAAAGCGTGACACAACTTGAGGAGGACGCCATATCTTTCGCAGGTGAACAAGGCTAAGGAACTCGTTTCGACGTTTCAAGATGGGCAGTGGAAAGCATGGGAAAGTCCGCGCATACCAAAGAACTAGACATAGTAAAATGCCGGAGCAACTTGGATGGCTGATGATTCTTGGTTCACTGCTGAGTTCTATTTCGAGACGTCGCGTGTACTCAATTGACCACGTGAAATGAGCAACATGAGTCATGGAATGTGCTTGATGAGATGTCGTGTATGGGTATGTGAAAATTGCCACTCATGAAACGTCACGTAAACGGCACATGTGTTTAGGCTCAGGCCTGTTTTGAGTAGGGGGGGCACACTCGCGGCGATGGAGTGGCCTGAGCCGTGGTCCAGGTTGGCGGCGTGCGGCTGGACCACGGCCAGGCTTGGCACGCTGGATGACCTGCCGAAGAGGGGCCTTCGGGAGGTCTTGGAGAAGGCGTGGGGCCGGGAGGCCACGGAGGAGGAGCTGGAGGAGTTCCACAAGAAGGTCAAGGAGTGCGGGAGCACGGGCAGGATCCAGTGGGGGGTGGAAGGCCGGTCTGGCGGCCTGGACTGGGTGGCGGCTGGTTTCAAGCGGGCCAGGACTTTCCGGCAGGAAGTGGTGGCGGAGGTCGTGGATCTAGAGGCGCTCCCCTGCAGGAAGGGCAAAGCGCCCTTGGCACGCTGGCCCTGCCAGCTTAGCAGGTTGGTGGGGCGAGCTGGGGGCAACATGGACCCGAGAGATCGGAGAGGACGAGGTGGACGGTGATGCTTAAGAGGATCATCGTGGAGTCGGAGCTGCCGGGTGGAACGCGGACCCCGACGGGACGGCCTGGCACCGGATCGGAAAGGGGAGGAGGTCCACCACTTTGCGGAAGCACGTCAAGACCTGGCGGCGCGTGGCGACCTGGCTGTACAGCACCTACAATGCGCCATGGCCGCGGACGATTGAGCAGTTCATAGAGTACATCATGCATCGGGTTGCCGAGCCGTGCGGCAAGAGCATCCCCACAAGCTTGATGAAGACCCTCATGTTCATCGAGGTGGCTGGGGAGGTGCCGGAGAAGGAAAGGCTTTGCAAGCATCCCGCGTTGCAGAACACCTTGGAGGAGGTCAACCTGGAGCTGGGGAGCTTGGATCTGCGAGGACGGCGGCAAGCGGTCCAGATCCCGGTGGAATCCTCCTGGCCCTGGAGAGATACGTCATGACGGAGGGGGTGCTCAGATACCCCCAGGGCCTATGCCTGGTTTCGGCTGGTAAAGCTCTGGGGGGCATTGCGCTTCTCGGACATGCAGGGAATGCCCTTCGGCAAGTTGGAGATGAGGCACGTCTTCGGTCTCCGGGCCAAGGACGACAAGGGCCGCAGCATGGCGCAGCCCTCTCGAGCTGCTGCTATCTTACGAGTACCAGGTCCGCAAGGCCGCCATCAAGAAGGTCAACAAAGGGCACAGCTGGGTGGACTATCTGGAGTGGAGGAGGCCATGGTGGACACCCTGAGAAAGGAGCGCTTCCTGACCACTCCACTGGCATGCAACAGTTGGGTGGCCACCAAGAGCAGGTCAAGGAGCCGTAGAAGAAGTCGGGGCAGGGAGCGCGAGCCTCGAGCAGACCGTTCCAAAGGACGGAACAAGGGGAAACCCAAAGGAAAGGGGTCCAGCGGCAAGTCAAAGGCGGGCAACACCCAGGAAGGGGCATGGCACAGCACCACACCCGACGGCAGGCAGATCTGCTACAAGTTCAACAACCCGCAGGAGAGGTGTCGGGGCCCATGCAGCCGTCGCCGCAAGTGCTTGGGGTCTCACCCACAGCATCTGTGTCGTCCCAACCCCAACGAAGGGGGGAAGGACGAGACCCAGCACTGAGGATTACAGGTGGCTCCGGCTGGGCAAGAGGGGCCGGGGCGCACCTTCAACGTGCTGTACCTCTTCGTCATCAACAGGCAGCCAACTGCGAAAGATGGCTTCAAAGGCGGGCTACAAGGTGCTCTTGGAGGAGTGGGACATTCTCAGGAACCCGGACCACGACCTCACGGACGAGGGCAAGCGCCGGGGGCATCTTGGAGCAGATCAAGGAGGGCAAGTGCGCGGTGATCATTGTCACTCCTCCATGCGGCACATGGTCGCGGGTGACTTGGGCCAATCACTTCGGGCCCAAGCCAGCGCGAGACGAAACAAGGCCTTGGGGGTACCCATGCTCTCAGAGAAGCTGCAGAAGCGGGCGGATGAAGGCAACATCATGATCGTATTGTTCATCGACATCCTGATGTTGCTGGGCACTACGTGGTGCGACCTGATCGCTCGCCGACCCTACTTCCTGGGAGAGCACCCGCAAGACCTTGGTGGGCTACACAGCCCTGTCGCTCAGTGGGTGAGGCCGGCATCCATCTGGAAGCTGCCAGACCTACGGCAGGCAGCGGAGAAGCTGGAGGGCATGCAGTCCATTGCTTTGCATCAATGCAATTGGGGAGCCCCGACGCCCAAGGACACGTTTGCTGACGGACCTCCCGCTGCGCGCCAGCTTCCTCTACAACCAGTGTCCACAGCTGGACAACCAGGGGAAATATTTAGGCCCTCTGCCGCCAAATACGGGCTGGCCAAGCAGCCCTTCCGGACTCCAGCCGCATCAACCTACCCGGCAGCTCTGGCAGCGGCCATCAATAAGGTGCTGCTTGAGGCACCAAATCTCACCAAGCCCCCTGCGGAGGGTGTGGAAAGGCTTGGCGAGAAGGGAGGCAACGAGCAAGTTCGAGTTGGGCCTTGTCAAGAAGGCAGCGATCAAGGATTTCATGAAGGGCAATTCCGAGCTGGACACCATGAAGGAGACGGACGGGTACCTCAAGGAGGGCAGGATCAATGGAGAAAAGGACTTTGAGGTGAAGGGATTTTGGGGGGTAGGGAGGCCTATGCAGGCCTACAAAGGCAAGAAGAGGGGCGTTTATGACGGAGGAGGGCTCTGTTCGCCGGGAAGATGGAGAGTGGGGGCCAGGAACTTTCCCGACAGCGCTCACTTTGGCGAGATCAGGGAGATCATCAGGAAGTTCTTCAAGGATTGGCTGAGCCAGGAAAGAGGCCAGGAGTTCTGGCAGATGGCTGCTGGCAGGCTCACCAGCTCCCCATTCGGTAAGTTTGTGGAGGGCTGACGTCAAGCTAGCTTCTCTGGGATGCGAGGTAGCTCGGCGGGCTACCGACCGGATCACGGAGATCCACTAGGAGCATGGAGGCCCGGATGTTGCGGAGGACCCCGATCACCGGTTCCATCTTGTACGGAGGACCTGGAGAGGGGCCACGTGATCCGGATGGACAAGCAGGCGGCGATGCAACAATTCGGAGGTACTGGCGGTGGCCTCTTTGGGGGCGGTCCCGAACCTGGATGCGTGTTCTATCACATCTTAGGAGGTCATACCGCTCGCGAATTTGAAAAACATGTGTCCTTGACATTGCCCGTTTTCACGGCCAAATGGTTGCAGCGCTGTGTTTTCACGTTTTTCATGTTTTTTCACGGCCACTTGGCGTTTTTTCACGGCTTTTTCACGCTTTTTCACGGCCATGTGGCCCTTGTCGGATTTTCACGGCCAAATCGTTTTTCACGTCCAAATGCCTGTTCGGCCTTTGACCACCTAAAATGCGATCAAACGCACCTCTAAGAAGGAGTTGGGGTCGTCAAAGGTGAGGATCATTCACGACGCGACCCACGAGGTGATGATTAGCCACAGGATTCGCGTAAGGGATCGCATGAGGTTCCCGGAAGCAAGAAGCAGGACTGCCTTCAGCTTGGAGAAGGCGGAAGAGGTCTTCATGCACACGGCGGGGGCCTTCGGCTTCGGGTTGGCCTACTCATGGCAGAGGGTGGCAGCGGCAGTCACCAGACTGGCGCACATGTCTGCTGGCACTTACGAGCTCTATCACCTCGGAGCGGACTGCTGGAGGAGGATCCTCTACTGGTTCTTCGTGATGGACGTGGTAGAGGTGCCGATCACCTGGCCAAGCTGGGTTGGATCGGCTACAAGGCGGACATTCAGCGCTAATTATCTCAAGGGCATAGGAGCCAGCAAGGAGATGGGCCTCATAGTATAGGCTTCAGCCGGGAGGTTTTCATCAAGTGCCGATGGCGGTGCAGATCGTGCTGGAGTTCATCAAAGTGTAGATCACTAGGCGCCCTATGACAGAGCCACGGCCGCTGCCAAAGAAGGTGGGCGAACTCTTTCGGGTGGATGCCAAAGCGGAGGGAGATCTGTTGCTGGTCGGAGGATGGGAGTCCTTCGGGGGCCGCTCAACCTTTGATGCTAGCCTTGAAGCTGACCCGGAAGACAGCCCCGTGGGCCTACGTGAAGGGCGAGCCGTTCCGCGTGATAGCCAGCCTGGAGCTGATCGCGACCACCATAGCCGTCTGCATCTTCGGGCCAGGATCGCAGTGGAGAGATTCGGTGGGCGAGCTCGTGGTGCAGGGGGTTCACCGACAGCCTGGTCAACACGCACGTCATCGACCACTACATGAGCACGGCGTTCCCACTCTCGGTGGTGCTGATGGAGTTGGCGGTTCAGCTGGGTTACCTGGGCGGGAGCAGAACGAGGAAGCGGACGCGCTCACCAACTTGGACTTCACCCTCTTCAACCCGGACCTGAGGGTGCAGTTGGAGCTGGACGAGTTGGGCTTCAAGGTGGTTCCAAAGATCATGGAGGCGGCCACGCAGCTGGACGCAGAGATCAGGCTCGAGAAGGACAAGAAGAAGAAGGTTCAGGAGCACTCCAGCAAGAACGCGGCCAAGAAGCCCAAGAAGGCGGAGATGAGATGGAAGGAACCATGGTGAGGCCGGGGGGACAAAGAAATAAAAGGGAGGGTGAGGCTTGCCAGCCATGGGGAGGCTGCCACGCTCTGGTGCAGTGGCAGCGGGCTCCGCTTTAAGGAAAGTCGCCCTGCGAAAGGGGAAATCCTCCCCTGGAACGATTTGGTTGGCCTGCCCCATCCACTGACCATGGATGGAGGGGCAGGCCCAACATACCAGGATGCGCATCCCCCATGGATGAATCAAAGGTGTGTTGGGTGGGAGGGCTGGGGGAAACACACAAATGAGTGAAGTGACATTGTATGTATATGTAGAACATTGAGATGACCCCACGCTCGCTTGCGCCCTTTGTTCCCTAAACTCACCGAGGGTGTGTTGATTCCTCCTTTCTGGTCTTGCGTGCGGTGAACAGCGCATGACCTTCCGAGATGTGGTGGTTCGGGGGACCGGTGAGGGGGGGGATTCGCAAGGCTGATAGTCTGTTACAAATGGTGATTCTGCACGGGTCGCTCGGTCGTGCGTGGCCATAAAAATGTTTGCCTGAGAACCGCGGTGGCAGACATCAGCAAAGTGTGCGTGTCGGGAATTCGTCCTTGGACATCAGGAATGGCTTCCAGATGTGACAGGCTGACTCCATGTGTGATACACATCCGGATTGGTCTTCCATGAGCAACTTGTTCGAGGACCAACACGCCGATTCGGGGCGAGAAGCTTTGGGATGAGTTTCTGTGCTTTCAGCCATGCATCCTATTCTCAGTTGTTCAGTGGCACCCTTTTTCCTTTTTTTTGGTAGCTGCCCTACTAAAAATGGTCTTCCCCAAAAAGGGTTCCCTTTTTTCCAGGGTCACTGAACAACTGAGTTTTTGGGGATTGCTTGTTCCTGAATTTACCGGATGCGTGAAAGCCGTCGTAACTTGTAACTTCCCGCGTCGTTCACAAGACGATTGTTTTTGTCAGTGTCAGTAACATATGAACCCATGGCTGGTTGGGAGCTGTTTGGGGGCTGGTTGCCCCATACTTAATGACTCGTTGAACGAAAACCAGGGGCTCATGCAATCATACAGTCAGTCTTTGTTCCATGAGATGTTTGCAAGGCCACCACAAATCATGCAACATTGTCCTGGCCTGTTGATGTGTTGGTTCCTCAGTGTCGGTCCATGTGTTGCCATGGAGACGGATGCTTTGTCATAGTGTTTTTTGTTTACAGCTTTACAAGCAATCCATGGCACAAGTGGAGAAGCAGGGCAGATGTCGACGATATGCAGAAATGAGAACCGCATGTTTTGGCACAAATGGTTTTAGCGTAGAAACCGGATGCTTCTCCCAGAATCTGAGGTTGTGTCTTTGACAAGAAGCGCCTTGCCTCCAAACCGGATATGATATGATTGGGCTATCATATGGGGTGTCTTCTCTTTGAAGACGACTCATGAGTTCTTCAGGCCTTTGATGGGCGGCGTGTTACTTTGCTCGCCAAGTGCGGAGTCTGCATGTATGCAGTGAGAGGGAGCGAGGCTTGAGTCCTTTGGGTGAGGCCATGGATTCCTGAGGGATTCCGGGAGTGTGTCTTGAAGCAATCTTGGGAGCAGAAAGCCAAGGCTCTCCATGGGCTAACCCCGAGCTTAGGAGAAAGTAACTAGAGCTTCAAGGCTTTGCCGTTGCATGGTCCCCATGCAGGCCGTTTAGGCGACAACCTTCCTAGGACGTGGCAGTGACCCAGGACATGTGCAGTTGGTGGTTTGACGACTGGCGAGAAAGCAAACTATTTGCATTTGGTGTAGTAGATGTTAAAAACAACATTGCTGGCGAGAAGTGATACGGCTATTTGGAAACCGTTTGCAGTCTATGCTGCGGCAGTGGCTTCGTAGGAGACAATCGATGATACATATTGGGTGCATACAGTGACAACCCTTATTCGATGAAGCCCTGATTGACAAAATTATGCGAGGGTACCGCTTGAATTCGGAATCCTGTTGAACAGGGTTCATTGGGTTCGCATGTTGACCACGTGCTTCGCTCTGGAGCAACCAAGGAGCCAAGTGGTGCCCTGAGAGTGGGAGATGGGCTTGCTCCACATTCCGGACTGGCGGAATTCCTTTGCTAGCCATGTATGTTCCTATGACCAACTTGGAGCTTTGTGTCATTGAATTAGGAGCCATGCCTATGTCTCCGCGCGTGCGTAGGTGCTCGGCCCCGAAAGGCAAAGATATTTGTGCAACAAACTAACGCTCTGTTTCGGGGACTGGATTCAGATACAGTCCCTTTTTTAGGGTTGCTCGAAGCTGAAACTGCTATCCGAGGCCCGACAGTTACAGTTAAATGAATGTGTTCGTTGATTCCTCTCTCAATGTGATGGACTGCTAACTTGGCAAATTGGTTGACATCGTGAGCCAGAACAGGAGCTTCTGGTACCAACTGCGACGCGATATCATTGACCTCGCGGCCAGATTCGGCATTCGCAATGCCTTCATGGAAAGAACGCTGCCTTATTGAATTACCAGGCAAGGCAAGCCGAGTTTTTAGCTACTTACAACCCCTTAGTGAGGGGTGACAGGGGAACATTGGTGCGAGAGTCTTACTTCCGCCAGTCTCAGCAGCTGGCCGCAGAATCGATTTCCATTGGTGACTGACAAAGCACAAGCTTCCTGCATTGAGCGCCAGGCATCCATCAGATATTGCAAATGTTGTATGTATGTTGTCCGTCAGCATTGTCGATTTGCCCAACAGGTTGTGATGGAAAAGGTGCGCTCGCTTTTCATCGCTGCAGTTCCTTCAACTTGCGGAGCCAGCAATATTGACTGAAGCTAGTCCCCCAGAGGATGCCTCATTGAACATATGGCAAGGGGAATTTCAAGAAACATGATAAGGAGTAATCCACAATTTGTGATGATAGGCTTTATCGAGTTGGACATTTATAGAATTTCCAAGCATCAAACATGATTTTGTGTATCAATGTGACTTAGTAAAATGATTAAGCATTGCCGCTTTTTTAACCTTTCACTATTGTTTTTTTGTTGACCTACTTTCAATGACGAGTACAATGTCAACACAAGAGACCCACCGAACACCCCAGACAGAATAGCCACTGAATTCCTTAGATCTTTCAAATATAGAACAGTTTTATCCCGCTCAAACATGACAAGGAACAAAGATGGACACGTACGCCATGAAAACAAATAAGATGGTTAATATGTTGAAGAACAACTACTTAACCAGCACCTCCAATATCCTACCCTTCCCCCTACGCCCCTTTCTTTTTTTTGATGTCATCGAACAGAGTTTGCCTTTTAGACTGTGTTTTGGAAAATCATGATGAAGCATCATATTTCCTCAAGGGCGGCGAAAGGTAGTTCCTGCCAACGCGCTGAAGCGACCATGTAATGCATGGAACCCAACCCCGCAAAGGGCCTGGCAAAGAATCGATCAACATCGATCTGGCTGCGTCTGGCATTTTGCTGCATGCTCGCTCGCTCGCTCGCTCGCTCGCTCGCTCACTCACTCACTCACTCACTCACTCACTCACTCACTCACTCAACTCAACTCACTCAACTCACTCAACTCACTCAACTCACTCAACTCACTCAACTCACTCAACTCACTCAACTCACTCAACTCACTCAACTCACTCCACTCACTCCACTCACTCCACTCACTCCACTCACTCCACTCACTCCACTCACTCCACTCACTCCACTCACTCCACTCACTCCACTCACTCCACTCACTCCACTCACTCCACTCACTCCACTCACTCCACTCACTCCACTCACTCCACTCACTCCACTCACTCCACTCACTCCACTCACTCCACTCACTCCACTCACTCCACTCACTCCACTCACTCCACTCACTCCACTCACTCCACTCACTCACTCACTCCACTCACTCCACTCACTCCACTCACTCCACTCACTCCACTCACTCCACTCACTCCACTCACTCCACTCACTCCACTCACTCCACTCACTCACTCCACTCACTCCACTCACTCCACTCACTCCACTCCACTCCACTCCACTCCACTCCACTCCACTCCACTCACTCCACTCACTCCACTCCACTCCACTCACTCACTCACTCACTCACTCACTCACTCACTCACTCACTCACTCACTCACTCACTCACTCACTCACTCACTCACTCACTCACTCACTCACTCACTCACTCACTCACTCACTCACTCACTCACTCACTCACTCACTCACTGAATCACTCACTGAGTCACTCACTCACTCGCTCGCTCGCTCGCTCGCTCGCTCGCTCACTCCCTCACTCACTCACTCACTCACTCACTCACTCACTCACTCACTCACTCACTCACTCACTCACTCACTCACTCACTCACTCACTCACTCACTCACTCACTCACTCACTCACTCACTCACTCACTCACTCACTCACTCACTCACTCACTCACTCCACTCACTCCACTCACTCCACTCACTCCACTCACTCCACTCACTCCACTCACTCCACTCACTCCACTCACTCCACTCACTCCACTCTCTGCACTCACTCCACTCACTCCACTCACTCCACTCACTCCACTCACTCCACTCACTCCACTCACTCCACTCACTCCACTCACTCCACTCACTCCACTCACTCCACTCACTCCACTCACTCCACTCACTCCCACTCACTCCCACTCACTCCCACTCACTCCCACTCACTCCCACTCACTCCCACTCACTCCCACTCACTCCCACTCACTCCCACTCACTCCACTCACTCCACTCACTCCACTCACTCCACTCACTCCACTCACTCCACTCACTCCACTCACTCCACTCACTCCACTCACTCCACTCACTCCACTCACTCCACTCACTCCACTCACTCCACTCACTCCACTCACACCACTCACTCCACTCACACCACTCACTCCACTCACTCCACTCACTCCACTCACTCCACTCACTCCACTCACTCCACTCACTCCACTCACTCCACTCACTCCACTCACTCCACTCACTCCACTCATCAACTCACTCCACTCACTCCACTCACTCCACTCACTCCACTCACTCCACTCACTCCACTCACTCCACTCACTCCACTCACTCCACTCACTCCACTCACTCCACTCACTCCACTCACTCCACTCACTCCACTCACTCCACTCACTCACTCACTCCACTCCACTCCACTCCACTCCACTCCACTCCACTCCACTCCACTCCACTCCACTCCACTCCACTCCACTCCACTCCACTCCACTCTCATCCACTCACTCCACCCACTCACTCACTCCTGTCACTACCAGTCACTCCACACACTCACTCACCCAGTCCTCCAGTCACTCCACGCACTCCACTCACATCCGACTCCACTCCACTCACTCCACTCACTCCACCACTCCACTCCACTCCAACTCCACTCTCTCCAACTCACTCACTCCAACTCCACTCACTATCATCAACTCCACTCACTCCACTCACTTTACTCACTCCACTCACCCCACTCACCCCACTCACTCCACTCACTCCACACACTCCACTCGCTCCACTCGCTCCACTCGCTCCACTCGCTCCACTCGCGCCACTCGCTCCACTCGCGCCACTCGCTCCACTCGCTCCACTCGCTCCACTCGCTCCACTCGCTCCACTCGCGCCACTCGCTCCACTCGCTCCACTCGCTCCACTCGCTCCACTCCAACTCCTCTCACTCCACTCCACTCCACTCCACTCCACTCCACACCACTCCTTCTCACTCAACCTCACTCCACTCACTCCACTCACTAACTCACTCACTCACTCCACTTCACCCCACTCACTCCACGCACTCACTCACTCGACTCAACCCCCCCCCCCCCACTCACTCCACTCACTCCACCTCACTCCACTCACTCACTCACTCCACTCCACTCACTCACCTCACCTCGACCTTCCAGCTTTTCAGCATGTCGTAGCATCAAACGCCCAATTCGCACATCACCCTACCATCACCAGTGAGGCTGGCTGGGTGAGACCCACCTTCACCATCACCTCACCTCACCTCACTCGCTCTCACTCCTCACTCACTCACTCACTCACTCACGTCACTCACTCACTCACTCACTCCACTCACTCACCTCCCACTCACTCACTCAACTCTACCTCACTCACTCACCATTTTTTTGACATTGAGGGATTCTTGCATTGCGGAAGCATGCCTTCTGCCAAGCTAGGTTTCGGCCTTGACTGTAGCAGAGCGGCCGGACAGCGTGGGACGGATGGGACTCGTCCTGGGACCGCGGATGGGGCGCTTGGGACGCTGAGCGTGATGACCGGTGTGGCTCCGCCAGCGGCAGCGGTAGCGGCCGCGAAGCCTTCTGCTCCAAGGCCCGCGGCGACGCCAGCGGTTCCAAGGCGCTCGAGCAACGCCCGGAGCAACACGGAACAACAAGTTTAGACGCGCAACCTTGCCGTCGAGGCATGTTTTCCTCCAAAGCAACTCCGCCAGTGCGAGTCTGCAGCGAACCATACTGATGAGAGGGAGTCCCGACGACTACAACTGGCCCCAAATGCCCTTGTCACTCTCCGAAGCCAGAAACAAGCTTGGCCCGAGTGGCGGCGCCGCCACGCCGCCGGCGCGCCAGCGCCGCGCCAGCCGCAGCGTAGCTGCGTGAAGACTCTGCTCCAAGCCCGCGGCCGACCCCCAGCGGTTCCAAGGCCCACGCTCCGCGCAGGGGCGCCGTGCGAGATAGCCTTTGAGTACATCAGGGCATGCACCGACCACTTTTTCTCGATTCGGTTCTGATTATGCAGTTATGGAGAGTCAACCAAGGCACTGACACAGCGGCGCAGCCCCCACCGAGTTTGCCGGCCAAGCGCTGGAGTGTGAGCACCTGAGAGCGACAGATGCTGGGAGAGAATGACTGAGGCGGAGATTAAGGTCCTTACAGCGTTTGCTCATCCAAACATCATTGAGCTCTTGGGCCATTGCATAGCCCGGTGGGGCTATTTTTGGTCCTATGAGTTCCTTCCTGAAGGAAGCCTAGGACCAGCAATTTTTGTCGTCACAGGACAAGGCTGTTCGACTTACCTGGGGCAGACGTAGCACCATTGTGGTCGGTCTAGTTGCAGCCGTTAGCTACTTGCACAACCACAACCCCAAGGGCCGGGCTATCATCGGGACATTAAGCCGGGGAACATCATGTTGACTGCATCCCTATCCCCGAAGCTCAGTGATTGCGGGTTGTCTCGCAATTTGCCGACAGATCGTCCTGGACGTGCCCGAATGACAATGCAAGTGACCGGTGCGGCTGCCGAGGGCACGCGTGGGTTCATGTGTAAAAGGTAC